CTTCATGCACAATGTGTCATGTTATTACAAGAAGAAAATAAAAGTTTTTCTGCTGTATATAATTTTCATTTTGTTTTGCTAAACTGACTTGTAAATTGATTTATATGATTTATATGTCTATAAACAGATTATTGATGTACATCAATGAAGTTTAATAAATACAATACAAAAATACACGTGTAAAGGATTCTTCTGTAAATATATTCCAATATTCAAGAACAAGGTCCGAAATACAGCTTCTCACCCCGCAATGCTCCAAATATATGAATATGAAATGTAGATATATTTTGATTTGATTTGATTTGATTTGATTTGATTTATTTATTTTCCACTCAAATATCCACAAATTAAATGACATATATAAACCATACAGTAATACAATATATAATAGAACAAATGAATTATACAAGTAACGAAAAACTGACAAGTATGTTCGTAATCAAATAAGTTTACAAAGTACATTTATGTTTGAGAATTAAACAACATATTTTAAATTGCTTGATTTAACTGAGAGGGGAAAAAAGGGAATCTCAGAAAAGCTAGGCTTGTTGAGCGAGATTCCCAGTATAAATTAAATAATGGACCATCATCAACGTGCATCAAATTCTACACATGTCCGCTCCCAGAGAGACCAGAGACGCACGAGCCCACTCGCCCGCGCCAGATCCCCGGGTCCCCCCCGCCAAGGCCCATTCAGCGTACAACAGTCTGCCGTTGCCAGGTCGAGCAAGCTCAAGGTCTGTCCGACCTAGCAACGAGCAACATAAAATATTGCGCACCGAACAGGCCCCGACAAAAGAAACACAAAGATCCGGCATAGGCAGCCGAACCCGCGCGTCCGGAGACTCTCCGGGAACAACACGCGAAAACCGGACACACGCCTAAGATGGTCCAATAGTATTTTGTACAAGCGTATAATGAACGATAGAAAAATAAAATAGATGACAATAAAAGAAAAGAAAAGAAAAGAAAAAAAAGAAGCATGTGATGAAACACAAAAAAGGATGAGAAGGATGGGAAGGTAAGAGTAGTGCCACGTAATAGGTAGTCTATTTGTATTTTATTGCTTTGAATTATGAAAACTACTTTTAGACTGTGGGGCAAGAGAGGAGAGGAGTTCAAAGCAATAAGAAAAATCTCAAGTTGTCATACATGATGTCAAAACAGATTAATGAACGACAACAGCATTAGAATTAGCTTGGGGTCTGCTATAGCCTTCACTAGAATGTACATGTATCCATTACATATAATTAGTTTTGAAAAAACTTCATGCAATATGTTGAGATTTATTTATTTTGTCTTCAGAACGTTTCTGGACAATGTTTGTCAGGAGCAGGAGTTGATGCGCTACGCAACATGCTTAAAGAGTACTGAGGACATTTATTGAATGCTAACCAGGGCAGCGTTTCACGAAACCGTCATAAGTACAAGTTCACAGACATCCCATTAAAATACATGGATTGAGTTGACACGCGTTTCAATGGGATGTCGGTGAACTTGTACTTATAACGGGTTCATGAAACGATGCCCAGGCCTCTCCCTCTAAGGAAATCAATTCAAACAAAAAAACCTTGACCATTGTGGCTAAACCATTCGATATATGGGGGGATTAAAGGTTTCATTATCAAGTCTTATCGACAATTTTGCGATTTGAATATATTATTTCATTTTTTTTTTCCTTCTTGTTAATATTTTTTCAGAAATCCACAACTGAGCATTTTTCCAAGAAAAAAATAGAGACGAATAACGTTAAATTTATTCATTAAGTTAAGGGGAATTTTTTTAAAATGTGTGAGCGGGTTGGTTTACCCCCTGTTTTTATCCCCCCCTTCCACCTTCTGATATTACGCCCTATTTTTTTTTTTCGTGCCCTTTTCCATATCTTTTTTGTTAGTGTATGTGCGTGTGTGGTGGGTGCGTTTGTGTGTGGGGGAGGGGGGGGGGGTAGTAGTGTTTTGGTTGGATGGGGTTATTTGTTTTATGTTACAACTAATTTCATTTTTGTCTTCATTAATTGTATAATCTATGTAATAAAAACAAATTGAATTCATGTCAAGGAAACACAACTGTATTTTATTTTAAAGATTAATTTGTATTGTTTGGAATCAATGTTAAAAAAAATATTGAAAAAAGAAGAAAAAAAGTAGGTGTTTTTTCTAACAAAGTATATCAAGTGGAACATTGAAAGTATGTGGATATGGAACACCTCAATAAAATTCCAAGCAAATGAGACTTTCATATTGTAAGGTAGGCTACACGGATACATGCTATGAAATAATAACTGTATGAACTTGTAAATGTCCTTGCATAAATATCAATGTTACAGATAGAGGCGTTAATAATACAAGTTGTTTTGAAATGATTAGAAAACAAGATAGACCCCCTATCAACAACGACAACGAGATATTTCACACCAAAAGCCCACCCTTCAAACAACACTGTAGAGTGCCCCCATTAAAATAAACCGCTATTGCTATCTATATCAGTCAAGATTATTTGTGTGCGTGTATGTTTGTGAGTGAGAGAGATAACAAAATTCTCTTTGTATCTTCCCTATTGTAATTTTTTTCTTTTTTTAAATCCCCCCCCATTCTTTCCTAACACCATATCAGCAGTCATGCTCAGATAGAGAGGACATGAGCTTTTGAACGTAGATGGAGCTGTTACAGTAAACGTCTCTCACACAGTGGAGTTCGTGGGAGAAAACTCAACAAATTACTGAGTTGGTCTTCTGTAAAATTTGCAAATAAGATGAATTTCTTACATAGTGATCTCCTAAAAACTTTACATACATATCTCGCACACTAGATGCACATACCATGACTAGGTCCATGAACATACACCATAGCACTGACGCCAGTGCCTAGACCAGGCCAAAAAAAACACGCACCCCTGCTTAAAACTAAATTGTTTTTCAGCCATTTTAATCTATACGTAAATCGGGACATCGAGCGTTTCACGAAACCGAAACAAGTAAGATTCATTTGGTTTTTAAATGAGATGCATGCTGCCTTCCGTATTATTTTAGTACATTGTAATCTTGAGTGTTTAGTAAAGTTATCGCACGCACCTCTAGTCGCAGTCACACCGCAAACCGAATTTCTTGGTCGCTTATTATCAGTCTGACCACATCTTTGGAAAACCAAGTACAGGCAAATACTCGAATTATCAACATGTAATTCAAATAAAATTATCATCTAAATGCCCTTTGTTCTTCTTAGATTTTCCAGTAACTTGTCTTAATTTGTAATGGGCATTTCTAACACAAGCCTTGCTTTCCGAGTTTCACGCCTCCTTCTGTTTTCTGAATTATTTACTACCCTGATCTCTTTGTCTTCCATATTAAACCGATAATGAGAATGAAATAAATATGAATTAATCTCAAATTCATTTTCCAATTGCTATGAGTCATTTGTCAGCGTACTTGTACTTTGTACTTAATGCCAGCGATTGCATTTTTATGACTCTGTTTTGGAATAGAAATCTATGTGTCGATGTCTGCGATGTCTATTTTTAGAACATTTGACTTGGGTGGAAAATACCCACTGGCATATTGTATGTGAAAGAAATTATTTCAATTCTCTCTCTCTCTCTCTCTCTCTCTCTCTCCCCCCTCCCTGTCTCGCTCCCCCTCTCTCTCGTTATGCTCTTTCTGTCTTCCCCCTTTCTCTTTCTCTCTCTCTTTCTCCCTCCCTTTCTCTATTTCTGCCCAAGATAAACTACCAAAAAAATTATGCCAATAGATGGAGTACAAATTATAGTCCAGAATCTACCCGGTCCTTTATAATTCCCTACACACAAATCTTGCGCAATCCGGAAACTGAAACACCAATATTATACGATTCAATTATGTTCGTTGCACCTATATGTATCTGATTAGTTCTTCCTGTGTTGCACATGCATATTGCTTACAGCAGCTTGCTGAGTGTTTACATTCAGTTCGCGACATAGTTCATGTTTAGGACGGTATTTCTCGTTTCCATAATCGACATACATGATACCACTCGTCGCTTGAAGTACATTGGCTGATTTCTTTTCAAGTGGTGTAGAGTATGTACACATTTGTCAGCATTGTCGTGACAAAGATAGATAAGATACTGATCGAATAACGTGTTAGTTTCATGATCAAATTACTAAGTTAGTTTATCATGTCAACGTCTGAGTACGGGTCCGAGTACGAGGAGGAACCTTTACCACAAGGTGCAGTTGGAAGAGTGAAGCAGTACAATGACGACCGTGGTTATGGCTTTATCCGAGTGAATGACACTAACAAATCAGTGTTTTTTCATATTTCAGCTGTTTCAAAGAAATGCATTAAAGTTGGAGATGCGGTGAAATGTAATTTGGTTGTAGGACCAAAAGGGTACTTTGCAGAATCTATTAAGGTTCTGAACATTAAGGATAATGATGACGATAATGATAATGATGATTATAATGAGTTCGAGTCGGGAGAGGAACTTATTCAACAAGATGAATACGGAGTAGTGGAGCAGTACAATGACTAACGTCGTTTTGGCTTTATCCGAGTGAATGACACTTACAACAAAGTATTCTTTCATATTTTAGATGTTCAAGAGAAATACATTGAAGTCGGAGATGAGGTGAGGTTTGATTTGTTTGTAGGACCAAAAGGGTACTATGCAGAATCTAATTCTTCTTTCTCTCTATCACCCCCTCTCTCTTTCCACTCAAGACAACAACAACAACAAAAACAAACAATCATGTCAATAGATGCTATTTTATCTATTATATTTTTGAAAATAGCCATAAATTGTACAAAAAAGTTAGGTTAACACTTGGCGCTCCATACTAAAGACGTGTCTAACGTGGGAGTGCCACTGACCTCTACCAGAGATCAAAGGTCAGTGGGGAATCCCCGGATCATGCGCAATCCGAAAACAGAAACACTGACGATGATACTACGATTCATTTGTGTGCTTTTTAGCTACATGTATGTTATTCGAACTTGGTGTGTTACACACGTATTTGATTACAGCAGCTTGACGAGTAATCATATGACTTACAATTCGCCTCATAATTTAGGACCATATTGCTCGTACTCGTTTCCATTATCGACATACCGTTCGTTGCTTGAAGTAGATTGGCTGATTTCTGTTCAAATGGTGTAGGGTATGTATACATTTGTCAGCATTGTCGTGACAAAGATAGATAATATATACTGATCGAATAACTTGTTAGTTTCACGATCGAATTACCTGTTAGTTCATCATGTCAAATGATAGCTTCATTGACAGCGGTGTGACTGGAGAAGTAGTGCACTTTAAAAAGAAAGGTGGATTTGGTTTCATAACTTATGATGATGCCAAAGTGTTTTTCCATATCTCAGAAGTCTCATACTCGTCCGTTGAAGTTGGCGACGAGGTGACATTTGACTTGTATATGGGATCGAAGGGATACATAGCAAAATCTGTCCAGTTTTCAACCTGGGATGATGACAATAATGAGTCCGAGTCTGAGTCCGGGGAGGAACTTATTCAACAAGGTGAATACGGAGTAGTGGATCAGTACAACGAAAAACGTAGTTTTGGCTTCATCCGAGTGGACGACACTTACAACAAAGTGTTTTTTCATATTTCAGCTGTTCCAGATAAAAACATTAAAGTTGGAGATGGGGTGATATTTAATTTGTGTGCAGGACCAAAAGGGTACTTTGCAGAATCTATTGAGGTTGTGAATGATGGAGATCATGATGACGATAATGATGAAGATGATGAGACCGAGTCTGAGTCGGGGGAGGAACTTATTCAACAAGGTGAATACGGAGTAGTGAATCAATACAACGACAAACGTAGTTTTGGCTTCATCCGAGTGGACGACACTTTCAACAAAGTGTTTTTTCATATTTCAGATGTTCCAGATAAAAACATTGAAGTTGGAGATGGGGTGATATTTAATTTGTGGGCAGGACCAAAAGGGTACTTTGCAGAATCTATTGAGGTTCTGAATGATGACGATAATGATGAGGATAATGATGATTATAATGAGTCCGAGTCTGAGTCCGATGAGGCACCTATTCATGAAGAAGTTGCTGGAGTAGTGAAGCAGTACAATGACAAACGTCGATTTGGCTTTATCTGGGTGAATGACACTTACAACAAAGTGTTCTTTCATATTTCAGATGTTCAAGAGAAATACATTGAGGTCGGAGATGAGGTGAGGTTTGATTTGTTTGTGGGACCAAAAGGGTACTATGCAGAATCTATTGAGGTTCTAAATCTTGCTGATGAAGATTCTGACTCTGAACCTGATGAAGCTGTGAACCAGGAGGCGCTCCTGAATTGTGATGCAACTGGCGTTGTGACGCGATATCTTAACAGACGTCGATTCGGGTTTATAAAGGTGGATGAAACCTACAGCAAAGTATTCTTTCATGTCTCTGAAGTATCGTTCAAGCCTGTTGCAGTTCAAGATCAAGTGGAATTTCATTTGTACGTAGGACCCAAGGGATACTTCGCAAAATGCATCAATTTCGTCAGTCCAGTTGTAGCCGACAATGTCTGGAATGAAACGCACTTTGGTCGAACCTCGGGGTCCCATGGCGCCAAAGATGGCAGCAATCCTGCAAAAGCACCACACACAGAGAAGTCTCCCGGAGGAGATACGGCGCATGAGCAACAACATAAAGGTGAGAAACTGAATAAATGCTTTGGTTATCAAGATATTTAGTTATTTCACATCAGCATAAATGCGTCTAAACACTAGTTTAAATTTTAATGCAAATAAAATTAATACCAAAGTGACCCGACCCAGCCATATGCATCAGTGGCATCACGGTTGTCGAATTTCTGGACTCAGGGGGGGGGGGGGGGGGGGGGGGGGGAGGTGCTTAATTGCCATCGAGAGAAGGGGGTATGAAGGAGTAGTGTTTATTATAATTATATAATTTTCATCTATTTTACATTCCGCTTTTACTTACTAATTATCCCGTATTAGTCTACTTTATTTTAGTGTTTTTTTCTTCTTATTGAGCCATCCATTGAAAGACTTGCTGCTGTCATGCACAGTGAATTTTGGAAGTGTTGTTTGATATATTTTGTAAATTGTGAACGGTACTACATGTATTTTTTTTTTGTATAATCTCTCTGAGTAACACAAAATTTGTGTTTCTTTGTCTAGGTGCCGGACAGACAACACACCATGACACATCGAGAATGTCAAGAGAAAAGGGTAACACGTTTTTCAAGTCAGCTCGTGATCAGGAAAGCGACAAGGCCAAATTAGATCGCTTCAAGGTAACCCACTAATGTTAATTTACTGATCAGGAAAAGCTCAGACCATGGAGAGGGTGGGGGTGGGTTGGGGAAAAAGAAACATGACAACAAGCTCTCAAATTTGGTTTAAAAGGAAAAAAGGTGAACACAATCTGCGATCCCCTTAAGGGCCATTTTACGTGTGCCACGGGTTTCGTTTGAAACTGTACTTCAGCGTACTGAATTTCTCTTTTAAAAAACCCCCGAAATAATGTTCATGGAGAAAAATAAAGTTTTTGAAATTTCGCCCCTTTGTGCAATTCGTCCCCACGTACGTTTACTGGTCTGTATCCATACACGACAACCCGACCATTCAGACTTTTCTGCCTTTACAAATACGGATCTTTTAATTTTGAAAGTATACCTTCAAGACCATTATTTCTAGGGAATTATTATGTACGGTATCATTGAATGAAAATATCCCTCTAGATCTACAGTATATTGATCAGACGGTCACTACGCCGACCTTTACACCAACTAGCTCTAAACACGACCTTTACGTCGACCAAAATCGCCATCGTGTGAACACGGCCAATCACATTTTAAGAATCGGTTGGTTTGGAGTCGATTCAGCGGCGTGACTAAAGGTATAATTTGCTTTCAGTTCCTGGATGTAACTGTCTCTATATGTACTGTGGGTAATTTGTTTACCCTGGTAATTGTTGGCTCACTGGAAGACGATTAAATGTATACATCTTATCAACTCATTAAAAAAAAATGAATTAAGGAACCCTTTACTATTTTTTATAGAGTGCTCTGGAGTGTTACAAGAAAGCTTACGCCAGTTCTCAAAAGGATGATGATTTGGTTTCAGCGGCAAAGAACACCGGAACTGTTTATTGGAAGCTAGCTAAACTGAAGATGAATACATGTCCTGATGAGCGAAAGGTTTGTAGATGTGTTTAGGTTCCGTCCCCGATCACCATACCCTGACATAATGCTAGACCGTAATCGATCCTTGACCAAATACTCTACTACCCCCCCCCCTACTAGGGTATCACTAAGACCAAAGTAGCATGGCCTGACCCACATCTGGTTCATCAGCCCAAACTTAATATCCTCCTTGGTACAAGTAGATTTTTACAGCACTTTTAAAGAACCCTAGCTGTTACTTAGTCATCCGTGGCAGAAAGAATATGAATATGGGTATCACTAGACATTAGTTCTTACTATGAACTAGATTTCGAGGTCACATTTATCATGACTTTTTAGCCTTAAAGTACTGTACAAGAACCCGTTAATATTATTAATATATAAAGCTACATTTGTTTGAGATGCTTTTTATTTTCGCAATGCATACCTATTTTACGGAACAGGTGATACATGCGCACTTTAAAGAGGCTCTGCAGCACTTCGGCACCGCTTACACGAAAAGGAACTGCATGGTCGAAGAATGGGGCAAACATCTGGAGAGATCTATCAAGGAATGTCTAGATGACATCAGAACATGGATCGCACCAAGAAATGACGAAGGTACTCGCGTTGAATAGAAGTTATGTCCCACCTAATTGATAAACATATTTGTCAAGATTTAAATGATAATCAAATTCATAATTATGATGATTGATAATTTGGTCTGACATAGCGAGGATAGCCACATCAGTATTAATAAAGATTTCCCCACAGCGGGACTCGAACCTGGAACCATGTTATCCACGTACAGTGTGTGTCGGACTGAGAATCGACCATGAACCCCTAGATTGAGAGTGAGGAGCTAATCACTTTACCACGACAAATGCATATGGGTATCACCAGGTCCTCACTCCTCAGAAATGTGGGTGGGGGGCGGCGGTAGGGCATCCCTCAATTTGTCTACCCTGACAGGGACTTTAAACGAGTAAGACGTTTACTGATAGTCATTCTGATGCACCGTGTAAAGTAAAATCAAGTATTTCTAACATACTGCGTAACTAGCAGTTTATTCACAAATGACAGACAGTTAATGTTAAAGGGATAATTGAGCTTTTGTTTTAGACCGCAAATGCCTTCAAAGTGCATGGTTATTGCTTTTATTCTTATTTATGACATTTCTAGTGCCCTTTTAGGACCTAAAATTGCTATGAAGATAATTTTAGACCGCAAAATGTGTGATATAGCCAATATGATCATACCAATTTAGCTGTACTTTCAAAAAAAATACGGTGACCGTCAATTAATTAATTAATAATAAAAATACATGGGCCGGCTGGTTGTGCGTATTATAACCAACACGAACAAGCCAACAAAAAGCCAACCCCGGCATTGGCGGGAATAAAACGTATTAGGCACTATTTCGTTTTTTAAACGACTGGTTCAAATTATCTATTATTGTGGTAGTAAACAAATATTAGAAATGGTTATATTTATGGATGTTAATCAGCCGTCTCTGAACCGATTTTGATCTAACAAAGATGATTTTTGTTTTCATTTAACTTTGACACTCAGTTTTTCATTATCTCACAATTTTTTAATATTTTGTGTAGCGCCCTCTGCAACCGAATTTAACTATCCCTTTAATAAGATGTCCGTAGTTGTGTACCTAAAAAGGGAGCAAGGGCCGCTTGTGCCCCCTAAACCTACCAGTGGAGCAAAGAGTCAAGTGTTGTTTACGTTCCTTTAAAAAAAAACATTCGTGTAACGTTTCAAAAGGCTTGTGAGACCGAGAACAACATTGTCGGTCTCGTGGGTCGTACCTTTATCGACTCCTACATGTATTTGTTTATTTGTTTTCGACTTCTCCAGATCGGATCACTGCCCTCAAGGAGTACGTAGGTTACATGCCTGAATGTGACGCAAAGGTCAGCTGCTATATTCGCATCGCAAATATCTATTTCAGAAAAGGAAAAGATGCTCTGCAGCACCAAGAATACAAGAGCTGCCAAGGGTACGTTATGTGTGAACATCTTTAAAAAGAGTTATACCAAGGAGTTACTAGTAACTGTAGTAACCCTTTCTTTATACTTAGTTTCCCCCCAAAGACACCAAAAGTGAGGATGGACACACAATATACAATGCGTCCAAGAAGAAACGAAACCAAGAATTATAATAATCACAATTATAATTAATAAATGACATATATTTGTAAAGCTTAGATCCCCCTCTTTTATTTAGTGCAACTCATATGATGCATATTTCATGCCTGAGCAATTAAATACAATTTGAAGAGAGAAAACCAAAAAGTCATTTGGCGGACGGTATCTGAATTTCAAAGAGAAAATCACATTTCTAGAAAGTTCAATTTCTGCCCTTCCATATGACACCCTAATCAGGAAAAATGAGCAAGGAATAACAAAGTTCTGTTTGTTTAAAGTAATAATAATAATAATAATAGCTAGTTCTTATATAGCGCTTTTCAGGACCGAAGGCCCTCTCAAAGCGCTTTACAGATATATATATTATTACCCCGGTCATAGGATTCAGGCTTACCCGCACACAATGTATGCACATTCTTCACTCCCTGGGGAGCATTCCAGCCAGGCGTCTTTGTTACAAGCGCACACGTGCGAATCTAACCACATTAGCTTTCGCATCCTACCGGGTACCCATTTACACCTGGGTGGAGAGTGGCAAATGTAGATCAATGTTTTGCCAAAGGACATTAGTGCCGCGGTGGGACTTGAACTGCGAACCTTGTGATCCACAGTCCGGTGACATATCCACTCGTCCACGACACCTCTTCAATGCTTGCATTTCCATAATTTGATTAACGAGTTAATTTTCACTGGCTGCCTGCCTTAGCAACAAACAGAGTTGACAAAAGACTTAAAGATAAACTTGAGTTATGGTAATACGATTGCATTGTGAAAGAAAAGGTGTGGAATGGATCAGAAAAGTTGATCATATAGCATGTAAGTAATGGTGTGTAATGCAAGGTTCTGGAGTCATCAAAATCATCATAAATTTGGCAGAGTCTTGGTAAAGTAACAATCACTTACACAGAAAGATGTATATGGGACAACACACATGGTGTCGGGGCTAGTACTACCCTGATTTCCTTATCTTACTATGCTCATTACTCAGCCAGTATACATTTTCTTCCAAAATGGTTTGGCACATGACATTTATTTGTAATCTTGAACATTCAGTGTAAGTTTCGTTAGATTCTGTGAGAATTCATTTTCTTTTTTTACCAGAACTCAAGTTTACCTTTATCTCCGTTTTGTTGACGACCAGCCATGCACAAAAAAGACGAAAGACTTGATACAAGATCCGTTTTAATAAAACTTGTTATCAATGACAAATGCTAAATTTCTGTGACAACTTTACTCTCAGCCAATCAAATACCTCAATTTCTGTAGCTTGTAACAGTTATTGTAACTTGTTATTGATAAGTAGTTAAATGAAACAGGGCCCATGTCTGTAGATGACACACAGTATTGCACCTAAAATTCCTTCAGGTTAACTTTTTGAAAGGCTCTTCATACTTCCAGCGTAAGTGTTGCTTTGCATTCATTTATTATTTGTTGATATTGTATCTCTAGGTACATGGATGAATGTAGTACAACCCTGAATGAAGCAAAGAAAAGATGTACAGGTGCGGATTCAAGCTTCAAAGTAAACGTCACTGACCTTGAAAAAGACGTCCAGTACCAAAAAGATGTCGTCCAGAAATGTTTATCAAAAGCCAAAGGTAAAATGTTCGCTCATTATGGTCCTATGTATACATTATATAGAGACTGCTACATTAATCAGTATATACATTTCTTTTAACATATCTAGGATAGGGGGAGGAATGAGTAGCATAGTTTTTTTTTTAAACTCACCCCTCCCCCCTCTTGAGAAAAAAAAAACACACAATACAAAATAAATTGAGGGGGAGAGATAACCCCCAAAACGCCCCCCCTCCTGCGTACGCGCCTGATTATGATGATTATTATTATCATCAGTATTTGTAGTAGTATTGTTATTATCATTATTGTTATTATTATTATCATAAGAGAAACCCCCATTTAGTGATGGGTCCAAATGCCCCTTTCTTAAAGTTTTTTTTTTCATTATTCGCAGATGAACAGGCGCGTCGAGAAAAAGAAAAAAAGGAAGATCTTGAGAAAAAGGTTGCAAAGGACCAACTGAAAGGCGTTCTAAAAAAACTGGAAAGACTTAAAAAGTTACCCGTTGAGAAATTCGTCGAACGAGTATACAAACAGTGGCCTCCTAAAGGGATTGATGAGTCGAAGATACCCTCTGCATCGTCATCGTCGTCGTCGTCGAAATGTTCAAATAGGAAGCTACTGATTGATGCCATTCGCTGCTATCACCCTGATAAGGTGGATAAGAATGCTCATGGTATAAGATGGCATGTTTTGTCCGGCGAGATTACAAAATGTCTAACTCTTCTACTAGCTGATGTTAATACTTGAATAAGTGCAGAATATCATCACGTGCAAGCTTCGTCATTGATCGTAGTAGGGCTATGATACTGTACTAGAAGCACTACTGTAGTACGGGTATATTCCCCGGGCTTTATTTCATCAAAGACACAGGGTTGAGGTCGCTATTGGCTTTAGGTTTAAAGTTGATATTCATTAATTTTAAAAACTAAATTTATTTTCATTATTGCAAAGTTGAAACTTTGATTCGACAAGGTTATCAAAATTCAATGCTTGGAAAAATTCGAAGTAATGATTATTATAAATTACAAAACGCTTAAATACAGCCCCGGCATAGTAAAGGAAGAGCTCTCCGAACGCTGCTGAGATGTGTGAGATCACAGTATGGACATGACTTGCACAAGCAGACTATGCCCCATGACATCTCACACATTTTCAGTGCCTGTGTTTTCATCTTTTCTTGAGTGCTTTCTCTTACTTCACTACCGTCAGGCTAATTGTATCTATTGCCTCACTCTTAACCCCGCGCATGGTTTTATTTTGATGACAAATGCAGCGATGCAAAAATGAAGGAATCTGTCGATGGTAAATAAAATAAGACGCCATTGTATATTCAGCTGCACACACAGGGGTATGTTCGGCGTTTCAAGAGGGAACAAATGCCGTCCTTAATATCATTCCAGGGGGTTTTCAATTTGAAAGTCTGGTTTCTTTGATTGCTAATTAACCCCTATCCTGTGTATTTACAAGCAAAAGATTTTAGTTATCAGAATCGGGTCATATCCCCTTTTGAATGGTTTGACATGCCATTACATTTCTATACACTAAACTCATTATAATTTGAGAAATAATAGCTTTGCAATTATGTTCATTCTCTGTGGGATGTCGTCTGCTTGGGCAGTGTTGGTCCATATAGTGACGTCATTAAAACATCGTTATTTTTCCGGCGAATCTCTGGTATATCCCAGCTGCTATGGAGGTGGTTGTATTTGTATTTTTTTTTATAAATCACCCGATATGTAGTTGACCTATAACTTGTACGATGGCCATCTGTTAGATTACCAGTTTCTAGTGATATTTTAGATGACATATTTGTGATTTTCTTTGAATTTCACCTTTAAGGTTTAAGATTAGGGTTATATATATATGTGCTTGGTCGAGGGCCGAAGTTAAAATTCGGTTACAGTAACTGTAGAATATCGACCGCCGGAACATGTGTGGTAATTTAAACTTTAGCATTATGACCCAGTCATAGTCAAAAGAAACAGGCACATCCAAGTGGATTGATGACAAGGACTATTAATGATTATCACCAGTCAATGAGGTACTGCCTTTTCTTCATACTTTTTAAAATGTTTTATTGTGCTACCTACAAATTTGATGTTGTGATCCAGCGTGATCTCTTAATCTATTACTTTCTCATTATCATAGCTTTGCTTTTATGTGCTATAATACTACCAAGTTTGATAATGAGATTTGACGTGATTTCTTAATCATATCATTTGTCAAAAGAAATGGAGAACCAGTTAATTTCTCATATTGTATTTTGCTATTATATACCATATCTACTGCAAAAGATTGATGATGTGATGTGGTGTGATCTTTTGTTTCTTTTTTCCCTCATGACAAAATGGAGAAACCGTAACAGTACCCTATACAGTTTACTTTAACGACTTCAAAGGTTGACGTTCTTTTTCGGGAGAGACAATTTTGTTTTCTCATATCGTATTGTGCTGCAACTTTGGTGATGTGATCTCTTTAATCTCTTAATCTTTCGTTTTTTTGCTCCAGAAGACAAGGATAAATAGTTATACTTTCTCATATATAATATGCTACTTAACAATGCAAAGTTGATGATGTGATTCTTTTTAACAACCTTCTGAAGAAATTGAGAAACAGTCTTTAATACCTTATCATAACATATTGTACCACAACTTTTGTTATAGATTATACGATCTATCTTTTGCTTTCTCATATCGTGCTGTGTTGCAAGTTTGGTGATGTCATCTCTTTAATCTCTTAATCTTTTGGATTTTTCGAAAAGACATGGATAAAGAGTTATTCTTTCTCATATATGATATTATGCTACTTAACAATGCAAAGTTGATGGTGTGATTCTTTTAATCTTCTGAATAATTGCCGAAGAAATCTCATATTATATTGTGCTACAAGTTTTTTGGACGATGTTGTAGTTGTTGTTTTCGTTCTTATGTCCGAAATCAGATAAAGATATTATACATGGTGAAATATACAAAACGAAACTTTAATAAATGTACATAGACAAAAATCGGAGGAAAGCCCAATTTAGCAATGTTTAAAAAACATTACGTTCCTTTCTGGGGGTCCTCACACTACAATATTTTAATTAAAACGACAATAAGCAGAATACAAACACAACATAAATATAAGTTTTAAAAAATACAAAATTACACAAATTTTAAAATAATAACATGCGCGCTCACACACACATACACGCACACCCAAGGTTATGCAAAACAATCATTTGAGTTCTGTTGCAGAGGGCGCTACACAAAATAATTTGTTAGGAGATAATGAAAAACTGAGTGTCAAATTTGAAAGAACATACAATTTAAAGGCACACTGTCCTACTTGTAGCTACTTGCTCCCTCTATATAGAAAACTTCTTCAATCGGTGCCTGTTGGTCCCCCATGATCCTCTATTTCTAATGTTAAATGAGAGCTGAGTTAATGAGATAGCCACCTGTCACAGTGACCTCGCTGGCTCACTGGGTGGTCTAATCCCTTCTAGCTGAAGTAGTAAAGCCTGCCTTTAAATGACAAAAATATTTTTTTTTGTGGATCAAAATCGGTTTAGAGACAGCTGAAATATCCATAAATATAACGATTTCTAATACTTCTAATACCACAAATATTAGATAATTTGAAAAAGCCGTTGAACAAACGAAATAGCGCCTTTTACGTCGCATTTCAGCCAATGCCGATGTTGGCTTTATTGTTAGCATTTTCGTGTTTTATATATTATCATTTATTTATATTTTTAATTAAATAATTAATTAACGGTCACCGTATTTTTGGGGAAGTGGAGCTGAATTGTTATGATCGTATTGGCTAAATTTCACACATTTTGCGGCCTAAAATTACCTTCATAGCAATTTAAAAGGGTACTAGAAATGTCATAGATAAGAATAAGAGCAATAACCATGCACTTTGAAGGCATTTGCGGTCAGAAAACAGAACTCAACTATCCCTTTAAGAAAAATTAGCAGTTATTGTGGTATGGAAGGATCTTAATGTAGTTACATTTCAGATGTATTCTGGTAGTTGGTTATATTGTGTTGCCCCCTATAGAAGAATGTTCTCGTGCACTGAATTCGGTTTGGGGAGATCTAGATTTTGGGACGAGCGAAATTAATAATTATACGTGCGATATTTGATATTATTTGACATATAAGACGGGGTGTAATTATTTATTATCTTAACAATCATAGTACATAATGCTTTTTGTAACGGCAATCTAGAAAGTCCTAATTTAGAGTATCATGAAGATATTGGTTGGATGTATGAGAATAAGGATTTACTTTCATTATCATACGGCCCGCTCTGTTTTGAAGCTTTTGTAAAATTGAAAGGGAGGATCTAGTAGTGGACTGCCAAATCATGTCTCCATATTCAAAAGGTGGCATAATTATGGTGTTGTACATTAGATTCAAATCAGATTCATTCATAAAGTGTCTTAATCTACAAAGGAAGCCAATAAGTTTACTAAATTTCTGACACATTATATTTATATGAGCATCCCAATTCATTTCGTTGTCTATACTAATACCAAGGTATTTTGTACTCTCAACATTCTCAATATTTGTACCTCTTATTTTAACATTAAGTATAGGACACTTTGATAACATATGACGTGATCTCTTTATTTTTTCCAGAAGAAATGTTGAAATAAAGAAACAGTTTTGCTTTCTCATATTGTATTGTGCTACAAGTTTGACGATGTGATCTCTTTAACCCCTTTATCTGTTTGGGTTTTTTTTTCAGAAGAAATGGATAAACAGTTATATTTCTCGCATTATATTATGCTATATACTTAACAAAGCAAAGTTGATGATGTGATTCTCTTAGACTTCTGAAGAAATTGAGAAACATTCTTACCTTCTTATATTGTAGGACAAAAGCATAATATGTAAGCAATTCATCACAGTAAAACCATAATGTGGACGGAAACCGCATAGGACATTGGCCTTTCGAGGCATAACCCTGACAAATATATAAATTGGACAATATGTAATACAAGCACAGAATATGACTTAACAAACCATTTACAAGTAAAGTCAAACAGAATATAAACGAACACCCGAGGTGGAACAAACATTATAAATAAAGGGATACGTTGATCAATTGTCATGACGGTATAGGAGCTCGATATCATTTCTATGATTTCATTTAAAAGAGTCAAGTGACGGGCAAGATTTAAGTTCAACAGAAAAGGAATTCCAGAGTTTTTTCACAGTGGTCCTTGAGATATTATTATAATAAAAAGGAACACATTTACAGGTTACTGGAATTTCTGGTTTGATATCTTTCGGCGTACATGTTATTTATAAAATATTCATTTAATACTGATGCGACCTGAGTAACATGAATATCTGAAACTTTTAAAATGTAAACTTTTTGAAAAAGAGAACCTGTCGAGGCTTAAAAATGACAGTTTGTATAATAACACGTATTTGCACGTTTTTTGTAATAAAAAAAGCCTGTTCAACGTAGAGGTTGCACAGTTTCCCACATACTATAGTACAATAAGATAAGTACTAGGTAAAAACATTTTTTGTTATCAGGAAACGCGCTTACAGGGGAAACAACAAATGCATATGACCTTCACCTTGTGTTTTTATGACAGCTGGCCTCTATTCAAATCGTTTGGGATCAGTGGCCTTTCTGCATGACTGGTGTACGTGGCGCCACACACTGGTACTCTCTGTGCCGTTAGCGTGATTCGTCTGAATATGTATCTATTCTTTGTTCTTTTTCTTCACGCCTACATTTTTTGGAACACCCGTTGTTATGTCAGAGTTTAGAATTCTCGCACTTTTAAATATAAATTTGTTCTGGTGATCCCCTCCTAACAAGCCCTTGAGGACACCCTTTTCTTTGATTTCTTTGTATTTGTTTCTACTAGCTCATATGTATGTATGTGTGTATGTATATCAAATATATTGA